GTTACTCGGTGTACTTGAAAATAATGAAGCTACCGTTCTTTTAAAAATTATCTAATTTAGGCTTTTCACTGATTTACACCGTGCTTCTCCACAAGGACTCTGAATGAAAGAGGTTTTGCTAAAATTAAATGGAGCCTTTCAAAGGGCCAGAGCAGCTCTGGCACTGATCACTGACATGCCACCCCTGCAGAGCAGGGATGAGAGGAGAGAGTTTCAGGGAAGAATTGAGATCTGAAAGCCATATCCCTGAAAGTCTCTGCTTTTCTTAAACATTTTGGTTCCGAAGAGCTTGTTTCTCTAAAGATTCTTGAGATTCACTGGACATCTGTAGAGAGAAGGCACTAGAATTTACTGAGAGCAGCCTTAAATCCCTTAGAAATAAAGTTAATATGAACACACAGGGGTTGCAAACTTCATATGTCTCAAGTGCTCCATGAGCTGAATGCTTTCTCATTTGAGTTACATCCTTTCAGGTACAAGAGACCATCAGAGGTATGGATGCAGAGGGCTACAGGAGAGCCAGAAATCTTACAGAAATCCAAGAACCGGAATCACAATTGGGCCTTTTCAAACCGAATCTAAGAAGGTACCCAACCAGCAGGAATTTCATGACTCTTTCCACAGGGGACCAGCCTTCCTCTTTACATCCATTACTTTGCTTTCAATAATAAGAAACAAAAAACACAATTCGAAGTGGCTTAAACAGGAGGTAAAACTTTTTGTCTCACGGAACTGGAAATCCAGCTGTAAGCTGGGTTTCAAGCTGTGTGATCCAGTCAACCAAGAGGTCATCTATGATCTGGGTTCTTTCCTCTCCACTCTACCCACGGGTCAGCGTCCTCCTCAGGCTGATTCTTTTTGAATAGGATCATAGGTGGTGGACAGTTGAACTATGGGCTACATAGTTTCTCGGTGACATTCTCTTTTTTTTTAAAGATTTTATTTATTGGACAGAGAGAGAGAAATCACAAGTAGGTAGAGAGGCAGGTAGAGAAAGAAGGAGAAGCAGGCTCCCCACTGAGCAGAGAGCCTGATGTGGGGCTCGATCCCAGGACCCTGAAATCATGACCTGAGCCAAAGGCAGAGGCTTAACACACTGAGCCACCCAGGCGCCCCTCTCAGTGACATTTTCAAAAGAGAAATGTTCCCCCAGAAGTTCCAGAAACCTCACAGTATCAGTGACTTGACGTAAGTCACATGACATTCGTAACTAATCCCTTCAGCTGACTGCTCTTCTCCTAGTTCTAGTTCTGGTCACTAACAAGGAGTATGGGATTACCACGACTGGTAATCGTGGTAATTCACCACTTTACCACTTCACCTACTGGGTGAAGTCAGAGGTGTGTGTGGTGTGGGGAGAGCAAGGGGATGGAAAAAAGGAAAACTGTAAACAGTTCCAAGTTATCGCCTGAAGTAAATGGGTAGACACCGAAGCCATATGGTAATTCTTGAAGGAAAATCAGGTTGGGGGAGGGGCGGTGGGCCCCAAGAGCACTGTTTAGGATGTGCTGGTTTTGAAATGCCTATTAGATATTCAAATGAAGATGCCATGTAAGTCATGGGATATATGAAGTGGGAGATTGAGGAAGGGGTCAGGGCTGAAGTTGTAATTTTGAGACTCATCAGCATATAGCTAGAATTTAAAACCTAGGGAATGGAAGAAATCAATTAAAGAAATTACATAAAGAGGAAATGAAGCGAGGATCCAAAGCCAAGGGTTGGGGCATTTAGTGTCTACACGTAAAATCGAAGAGGAGAACCCAGCAAAGGGACCAAGAAGCAACAATCAGCAAGGCAGGAAGAAAACCAGAAACATGTACTGTCCTGGAAACCAAGAGAAGCGAGTGTTTCTTGATAAGAGAGAGAGGAGTTACACCCAATGTCGGGAGGCTGACAAACAAGAGGGCCAAGAGGTGAGCACACAGCTGGCACCATGGAGGCACCGGAGCCGAGATAAGCAGTTTCAGTGGAGTGGGAGCACTGAGCCCACCCAGAGTGGGAGGAGGAAAAACGGAACATGAAATTTTTCTTAGCACTTAATTTAGACAACTCTCCTGAGACATTTTTCTGTGAAGGGTAACATAGAGATGGGCAGTAATTAACAGGGAAGAGGCCAAAGCAGGAGTTTTTATTTTTTTAAAGGTTTTTATTTATTTATTTGACAGAGAGAGAGACAGTGAGAGAAGGAACACAAGCAGGGGGAGTGGGTGAGGGAGAAGCAGGCTTCCCGATGAGAAGGGAGCCAAAAGCGGGGCTTGATCTCAGCACCCCAGGATCATGACCCGAGCCGAAGGCAGACACTTAACCATCTGAGCCAGCCAGGCGCTCTGAAAGCAGGAGGATTTATTTTATTATTTTTTTTTAAAGATTTTATTTATTTATTTGTTAGAGAGAGAGTGCCCGAGCACAGGCAGACAGAGTGATAGGCAGAGGCAGAAGGAGAAGCAGGCTCCCTGCCGAGCAAGGAGCCCGATGTGGGACTCGATCCCAGGACGCTGGGATCATGACCTGACCCGAAGGCAGCTGCTTAACCAACTGAGCCGGCCAGGTGTCCCAAGCAGGAGATTTTAAAGAAAGATCCTAAAGGGCATCTAACGTGCTGACAGCGTGATTACCAAGAGGAAGATGGCCAAAAGAATCATCGTGGGAGCGAAGACATGGAGAAGTCATGGAAAGAAGAGACAGGATTCAGGGAACAGGTGGAGGAAGTGACCTTCTATGGAACCAGGGCTATTTTACCCAGGAGGAAAGGCCAGGAAGGAGCGCACATGCCAAGTCACGTGGCTGATATGGTGCAAGATAAGGGATTTCCCACCTCATTGTTTTTATTTCTGTCACAGAGTCGGGGGCAAGGTGATCATGAGAAACGAGAAGAGTCATGAAGAGAAATGAAGGTGTCGAGCGGCAATTCTAGGGGGCAGGAGAGGAAACAGACAAGGAAGGTGTATGAGGATTGCTCGGTAGTCAGACGTGATGAAAGACAGGACGAGGGGAGTGGATGAGTAAGGTGGAGGGAAGTATAGACTGAGCTTCAAAAAGGCTAGGAAATGGCCCCAGGGTCACACCACTAATGAGCAGAAAGGCGGGGATTCACACTGAGGTCCGAGTGACTTCACACTCCATGCTCTTTCCATGCTGCGGGTCCCTCAGGAACAATCACTCAACCGGTACAAAGACAAAGCTGCAGGTAAAGCGCGTCTACGAAGATTCATTGAACCCCACAAACGTCTGACTGCATGGGACCCTGACTTTGTGATGACCTATGAGGAATCTAGGAGGACGCTTCAGTATTTCACCCTTCCCAAGGCCCAGGGATGTCATCCCAACCCTCCCTTTCTCCTCTGAATTACCAGCGACTGGCTTGTCAGCCTATCTTCAGTCTCTAGCGCCCCCAACCATCTTCCCGACTGCTCAACTCGGTCTTTGTGAAATTCAGATGAGGTCTTCCACAAAACCCTACACAGCACCACACACAAGACTCTTCCTCGTGGTTCGGCCACATTCCCCTGGCCTCCCCCACAGCTGGCGCCTCAGCCCTGTTAGTGACCATTCCACAACCCTGACAGCCCTTTCCATGCTTCTACGCCTTTAGGCATGCCAGGGCTCTCCTCGAAATGACTGTCCTCGGCCCTGGTTCACACAACACTCTCCCATTTATCCAGTTCCAGTCCCTTCCCCAGGAGAGCTTTCCTTCTCTACCTCTCCTTCATCCTCCTCCACCATTCTCAGACAACCGCTACAGGGGTTTTGGCCGTTCTGCGTTAGAATTCTCTTTGCCTATTTCTCTCCTTATCTTCCACGTCGTAGCACATCTCCCTCTCGTACTAGGTGCTCAAATCCTGTGTTGAATGCTGAATGAGAATGAATTTAGCTATTTAATACTGAAGGTGATGAAGTGAGCTGAACTGCTTTGAGTGGGGTTCAGTATCTCACACTGCATTTGTCATGTTCCCAAGGGATGTCAGAGGGATACAGAATTCAACTGTTTGCTTCCATAGCATCTTGCACAACCTGCTCTGAAACCCAACATTTCGAGGTGGCTTTCAAAGTCAGACATTACTGAACAAGCTTACTACATAAACGGTTTATACGTTATGCAGATGAAACCTAAACAGCCTGACGGGGCCGCTGGAGATCACAGGCTGAGACCATACGGAAGGAGGTTGGCTGGGGGCCAGAAGGTGTCTGTAGGAGCTGTGATGGCTTAGCCGTCCAAGAACAACCCGTCTGATCTCTTTAGAGACGCCAGGAGCCTGCCAGCTCTCACTCCCCAACGCTGTACGTGCTACACAGTGTTTGTATCTGCTGCGGCCAAAGAGAACTACTCACTCCTCCACCCGCATGACACAGATGGTACAGATGGGAGCATGCTTCCTCATGACAATGTGCAATTATGCCCAGTTCTCCAGCTATAACAATTACCAGGAGAGAACCCCAGGGAAGGAAACAGTCGTGGCCGAGAACACCCTTGCACGCTGGCACACACTGCTAAGTTCTCCCAAGGGTGGCCACTGGAGTCATGGCCCCTGACCCCTTTCACAGACCCTCCTAGAACCCATAAGGTGAAAAGCATTTGGTGAGGTAAGGACATAAGGCAATCAACAAATGGGATACATTTAAGTAAGAAAATACCAAGGCTTTATTCTTCTTCTTCTTCTTCTTCTTCTTTTTTTTTTTTAATAAAGACAGCCCCGTTGTCGGCCACACGAAAAGGATATACACAGTTCCCATGAGTCAGTAAGACATCCCTGCTTCAGACTGCCATAATGCCAAAACAGACCATAATGCCAAAGAACAAACAGCAAAGGGAACAGGGTAATGCTTTCATCTTCAAAGCAGTAAAATGCAAAATAAGACAAAAATTAAATGGATGCAATTAATGCTGGATATTCCCACTGGGGAAAGACCAGGGGACTTTCAATCCATCAGTATTTCAATACGATAACAATTCCGCTAGGCTGAGCCATCCTCGCATCTCTCTCTGGCTCTTCCGCCTTGGGTACAACAGTCTGGATCCGACAAAGCTGCAGCCAGGAGCTTCTGCTTCGGAGTCCACCAAGACAAACAGGGGGCAATGTCTTGGAAGACCAGATAACTGGGCTTTGGTGAGGCACCTACGTGCAGCAGTGTCGCATATGGAAGTTGACAACATACTCAGCATTAGTCCTCTGCACTGAAATAGCAAAAGGCTCAAAAGGGTGAAAGGTGAAGGCAACAAGGCGTCGCACGGTGTGGTTGATGGGGCGACCCAGTAAGCCTGCCTGGATCTCAAACTTGAGCAGACCAGAGTCCCGGGCATAAAACCTACACGGAAGAAGGAGAGAAAGAGAAGATGGTACAGATAGTCACTACCATCTTGTAATCTGCACAGCACAAGGACGCGGCAACTCATTATTTAATCCTACGATATCGCCTTTTACATCGGCCCCATGTTATCAGAAATGCAAAACCACCTTTGTCTGAGCAGCTCGTTTTATGGCCAGGGTGACTATGAATTTTCCTGAGCTGTCCTGAGTCACTGGGTCATCCCTTTCCCAATATGACCCTCAGTTAAAGCCTTAACTACAGCCACACCTTTTCCAGAAAAACTGCCCCAAGACTGCCTAGGCTAGGGCTAGAAATGAAATGCAAGCCACATGAATACTTTTAAATTTCCAGGTAGTCACATTAAAAAAGGTAAGAAGAGAAAGGTGAAATTAATTTTAGAGATATATTTTTTATTTAACCCAATACTGGTATCCAAGATATTATCATTTCCACCTCTAATCCAGATAAAAAAAAATTAATGAGGTATTTCACATTCCTTTTTTTGTATTAAGCCTTTGAAATCGGATGTGTGACACATGAGCACGTCTCAGCATGGACTAGTCACATTTTAAGTGCTCAACCACATGTAGTGAGTGGCTATTACCCAGGACAGCGCAGATCTTGGCCCGTATTTGAGTTTTTCATTTTTAAGAAAAAATTCTCTCGGAAGGTTCTTTTTCACACACAAAAACAAAATACTAAGTAGTTTTTCATTTTTCAGCTAATACTTCCATTCATCCCCATAATTAAAGACATGTTCCCATACGCATGATAAATGTCCTCGGGTATCAGGAACTAGAGATGTTCAGTGGGGCTGGGGCTGAACTAGGTAGGGGAAGTCCTAGAAAATGAAGTGCTCTCTGGGGCGCCTGGGTGGCTCAGTGGGTTAAAGCCTCTGCCTTCGGCTCAGGTCATGATCCCAGGGTCCTGGGATTGAGCCCCACATCGGGCTCTCTGCTTAGCAGGGAGCCTGCTTCCTCCTCTCTCTCTCTCCGCCTGCCTCTCTGCCTACTTGTGATCTCTGTCTGTCAAATAAATAAAATCTTTATAAAAAAAAGAAAGAAAAGAAAGAAAATGCAGTGCTCTGAATTACAAGCTCTTTAACTTCCCTTTTGGAAAGCAAACATATGGTAGACATAAAGATATTCATAGCCTCTGACTCAATAATCCCACTTCCACGAATTTGTATCCTCAGAACTTAATTTAAAGGGAGGACATAGTGATGTGAATAAAGATGGCAACTCTAGCACAGCTCCAATGTAAAAATGCAAGACAGAATAAAGGCTCAGTGACGGGATTAGTTCAGTCAACTGTGGTACATCTAACTGAGGGATTGACAGGCCATCATTGGACGGTAACTCTGAGGACTATGGAACATCAAGAAACGTTTCTAAAATAAAAGCAGGCTACACAGGACAATGTAACCAGGACTACAACAACATACATGTGAACATGCGTACTGACAAAGACTAGAATGGAACACACAGTACAGGTGTTCAAGTCATGGCATCTCCTCTTCTAATGCCTTTCATATCCTCACATTTCTCACTTTAAATTAAAAGTAAGTGAAAAGCCCCTTTGGTCAGAGGCAATAGCCATTTCCAAATTGTAACTTAGGTTAGTCTCTTTTCATTTTAGAAAAGCAAGTCAGAAAGGAGAGGAATGTATCTCATATTACCTTGACAATATCAAATGAGGCCCGTGATACAATTTTTTGTGTGAAAACCACATTCACTTCACCCACACAGTCTCCAACACACAAAGGGCTTGTAAGGTAAAGTGAGTTGTTTGAGCTTCTAAATCGAACTACCAGTTCCCAGGAAATGTACACGAATGAGAAAAATCGTAAACACTACTCCGGGGATGCACGAGCAGACTCCAAATGTGGGCAACACTACAGGACAATTTCACTGCAAGGAAGGTAAGAGGGAAGCAGAACCTTCAGAATAAAATGGATTTAAGGGAGTAGCAACTAATGCAATGTGTGAACGTTATTCAGATCCTGATAGGAACAAATGGAACCATAAAAAGAACATTTACAAGACAACAGGAAAATGTGAAAACTAGGTACTTGGTGGTCGTCACAAAATTTTAAGAATTTTCTTAGGACAGAGTAATGGTATGGAGGATATATTTTTCTAAGTCTTTATCTTTTAGAAATTCATGCCGAAATATATATGAGTAAAAACTGCTATAAAATCTGGGATCTGCTTCAGAATAATCAAGAGTGGCAGTTTGGTGGGGCGGGGGTGGGGGGGCGAGGGGGGTAGAAAGAGATGACAACATTGACCATGACCTTATAACTGTTAAAACTGGGTGGTAGGTATGTGCAGGTTCATTATACTCTTCCACATTTTATATGTTTAAAGCTTTCTAGAATTTAAAAAAAAAAAGGCAACTGGTTTTTGGAACTTGACTACAATTTCCCAAAGGAAATACTATGAGCGATGATTAACTGTTCAGAATGTGTTACACAAGTCTATTTAGCACACAATGAAGCTGGACAGTGAAACACTACCTAACACTGCTTCGATGTGCAAAAGGCCTTCCACTCTCTAGCTAAGGGTTCCAGGAACACACCCCCGCTGAAATCACCCCACGGGTGGTGATGGTACCCGTTTCTCTCCCTAGTATCTAACACAGCACACAAAACACAAGCTCCCAACACGGAGAAAACGGGGGGGGGGGTGGTCTGTGGAGTGGACATCTGTGAGGGAAGGACTGGCTTAGTTTTCCAGGTTCTAGCAGTAACACAGTAGTCCACATTCTAAAATTTCTCATGTGAGGACGCATGTGTTTCTCCAAAACATGCCTATTTCCCAAATTATCTCTGCTATCTTTTCTACTAGGTAACATGAGGGGATAAAATAATTTGAGTGAAATAAAATTAGAAAGTCTCAACTATAAACACTATTATGAAACAGTATGTGGTTTCCTACCCTGGGTACCTTTAAAAGGGAATAACACTTACCTGAATCGGATGTTTTGATGAAAACCAAAGAGCAGAACTACTTAATGTATGAGACTAGTACTACATGATCAAAAGCACTCGTCACATTATAAAAACAGCCTGTCCTTCCAATCAACCCATGAGTCCCAGTGGGCACAGTCACAGTGGAATGAGGTTCAAGGGGAGACAGAGAGAGAGAGAGAGAGAAGGCCATCTTTAGCCCGTGGGCAGTTAGCCGCTAGAGCAGTGATCGTGTACCTGATAGGATGATCTCCGCAAGTCTTGGGTCGCTCCATGACAGATACCCACTTGTCATCGTAGCTGAAGAGAGACAAATCAAGGTAGGGGCTCCCGCTGTAAGACTGGGCACTGATGGGTAGCTGACCCAGCAGCCGGCGCACTGCCTCCGTGTGGCCTCCATACTTGGCATTTACAATAGTGTCTTTAAACCTAAAACAAAGCACCAGGGAGGAAGGCTGCATTAGCAGGCACACAAAGCTGCCTTGGATCTCAGGTCGATAAAAGATGTCTAAAAACAACTCATTCTGTAAACAGAAATCCAGATAATGAAGGACATCAGGACTCCCACACATCACAAGTCTGCCTGGCTACAAACATTCTCAAAAACCAGAAAACAGAACTTGAAGTAAGAACACTGAATCACTTTAGAAAAGTTAACACAGACTCTCTAAACAAGTTTCCAATGAGTGTAACTATTCTATGACAACACTTCTACTCAAATCTACTTCCCCAAATGGCAGTCTCAGCTTGCATGAGAAAGGAGTTACAGAGGGACGCCTGGGTGGCTCAGTTGGTTAAGTGACTGCCTTCGGCTCAGGTCATGATCCCGGCGTCCTGGGATCAAGTCCCACATCGGGCTCCTTGCTCAGCGGGGAGCCTGCTTCTCCCTCTGCCTCTGCCTGCCGTTCTGTCTGCCTGTGCTCACTCTCTCTCTCTGACAAATAAATAAAATCTAAAAAAAAAAAAAAAAAAGAAGGAGTTACAGAGAGCAGGGAATGTGTGGAGAAGAGGAGCCTCTCTCCGACTTCTTGGGATCAGTTGTAAGTCAACTTTCATCAAAACTTTCGAAAAAACACTCATCCCTTGTTTCAATCTGGGAGCTCGCTGCCTGTACTCCCACAAAAACATCAGTACCTAAAGAATAGTAACATGGACACAGAGTCACAAATCTCATTTACTTTGAGTAATAGTAACAACGGAGCAATTATTTCTCACAACTGTCAAGAATACTAAATTTAATACCATTTGACCAAGTACTTCTACTCTTCTAGAAATTTACCCTAAGGAAGCAATCCCACACGCAGAAAAATCTCTGTGCACATTCAATACAGCATTGTTTATGATAATGATAAATTGACAGAAAATTAAAAACCTAATGGAAAACTACAATATCCAAAGATTACATGGTTACAGAGGAAATGTTTACCATAATGGTAAGTAAAAGCAACAGGCTAAGTCTGTACACACAGTATGATTTAAAAAAAAAACAAAGAAAAAGGGGTGCCTAGGTGGCTCAATCAGTTAAGCATCTGCCTTTGGCTCAGGGCATGATCTTAAAAAAAAAAAAAATTAGGCCTAAAAAAAGACTGGTAGAAATGTATCTAAATGATAATTGCATTTTTGTGATCACATTTTGATTTTTTTCTTCTTTTTCACTGTCCCATTGTTTCTTAGAAAGAACGTCAACTATCAGTAATACAGTTTTTAAAATCTCTGTATCAAAGCATATCATATATTTTTTAAAGATTTTATTTATTTGACAGAAAGACAGCAAGAGAGGGAACACAAACAGGGAGAGTGGGAGAGGGAGAAGCAAGCTTCCCGCTGAGCCAGGAACCCCATGTGGGGCTCGATCCCAGGATGCTGGGATCACCACCTAAGCCGAAGGGAGACGCTTAACAACTGAGCAACCCAGGCAGACACCCCTATTATACGGTTTAAAACTTAAAGGGAAATAATTTTTTTTAGTCCAGGGAGAAAACAGAACATCCCATCCCTGAAATTAATGGAATGAAAACTAATGAAATAAATTTAAAAACTTGAACATTCCCAACTTTGTGGAGACCAGAAAGCTCGCGGAAATGGGTTTGGATTTTTGCCTTCACCGTTAACCTGTGATGCTGGACGGACATCAACAGATCTCAGTTTCCCCCGAAGAAAGCTTAGCTCGCAATACTGCTTTTCCGTTACTCCTCTTGACAGTAATTTTCACAGCCTCAGTGTAAATCACAAAATTAAATCTTGGGCCAAAGAGAACTTCTTTCTTTCCCTTTTGAATGGGCTAAAATCATAGACTCTGGGCTCTCGGGTTTGCAGCGCCTTTCCAGCCAAGATCTAGTACTACCTCTCATAATCCACACTCTGCCTTGCCTGGCTCACTGGCTTCAGATGCTGGGGGCTGGCCCACGGCTGCATGATGATGTCATCATGTCATACGTCACATCATAAGTCACAGCCTCCATGACGGTCTCTTGGCTGAAGCAGCTCGTTTTCCCCAGCGGCACCACCGGCTCCACTCTCTGGGCCATCCACTGACAAAAAGATGAAGCAGTTATCCCTGGGACGTCTTCTGGCATCTAACTCCTGGTTCACTGTCACTCTGCCCAGTTATGCCTCTCCCAGTTCACGGGGACTTCTAAATTCACAGAGATTATCCTTCCAGCACCATGGCTCCTAGTTCCTGAACCTTCAGTACTAGGTCCCACAACCTCTCCTGCTCTTAATCAATTCTTCCCCACCTTTTCCTAAACCATCAGTTCCCCCCAAACTACAATTTAAGACTATTTCCTGTACCATACTTTTGTGGTTTATGTGGAAAATATAATTTCCAGAGGCTTCCTTAGAAAAGATACACGAGAGGCAATTTTTTTGAGAACTTTCATGTCTGAAAATGTCTTATTCCATCTTATTGGATATAAAGTTCTAGACTGGAAATCATTTTTTTCACAGAATTCTGAAGGCATAATTTTACTGGCTTCAAGGTTTCAGTGTTATTACTGGTAGGCCCAATACTATTCTGATGACTTATTTTTTACCATGTGAAATGTATGTTCTTTCTGCAAGTTTTTACCATCTTCTCTTTATCCCCAATGTTCCCAAACCTCATTTTAAAAGATTTATTTGTTTGCGAGAAAGAGGGAAAGCGTGAGTGGAGAGGGGCAGAGGGAGAAAGAGAATCCTAACAGGTTCCACATGGAACCCAATGTGGGGCTTGATCCCATTACCCCGAGACCATGACTTGAGCCAAAATCAAGAGTCGGACACCCAATTGACTGAGTTGTCTAGGTGCCCCCTCAATGTTCCAAAATTTTATGATGATATGCCTCAATATGGGTCTTTTTTTATTAGTTACTTGATGGAGCTAGATAATTATTTATGTGGGGGCATAAGGCATGTTTTGCAACACTTGGCCAGTTTCTGTGCTGTAAATCCTCCTGCTGTAGAAGGTACTTCTAGGTACCTTTTAGGTCAACTTCAAGGTACCAAGGTGACACTGCTGAATGTGGAGCTGCCGCAAGATGAGCAGTAGCACATCACCGGGTAATATTTTCACCATGCAGATAAAACAGATACAAATATACTCAAAAGCCTAAGTAGTAAAATAACTACAAAATATTTTTAAGTTAAAGATAAGATTTTTTTTAAAAGATTTTATTTATTTGAGAGAGAGCGAAAGAGAGAGAACACGAGCAGGAGAGGAAGAGAGGGAGAGGGAGAAGCAGACTCCCCACTGAGCAGGGCGCCCGACACAGGGCTCAATTCTAGGACTCCAGGATCATGACCTGAGCCAAGGGCAGATGCTTAACCAACTGAGCCACCCAGGCACCCCCAAAATAATTAGTTTTCAATAAGGACCACATTTAGCAATAGCTTGCAAAAATTCCTAAAAGCTTAACAAACGGGCTCTCGTGAGCCAGCATGAGCCAGTCCTAGCACACCACTGAAAGGTCCTGCCAGTCTCGAAATTGATGTTCTTCAGGCCTGGAAAACTAGATTTACATTATTTCCTCCCTATCATTTTCTCTACTGCACCTTGTGGAAATGACCAGATAATGGATGTCCTCGGCAAGTTCTCTAATTTCTTTTCAGCATTTCTCTCCCATTTTCCTATTTTTTATCAGTTTACTCTATTTTTTTGGAGAATTCCTCAACTATACCTAACAAAGTTTAAGTTTCTGTTCTAGGAATGTTTCTTTTTTATAGCATCAATTATTTCAGTGATTGCAGTGTTATTCCTTTATTCTTTCTACTGTTTGTTTTATTTTGGTCTCTTTCAAAATAAAGATTTTCCTTAAGTAACTCACGATCCTTGGTGCCCCTTTTTTACTTGAACATTTACTCTAACCTATAATAGATCCACATTCATTTATTTTTACTAAAAGATGACTGGAGACTGTAAAATTAAGCATTTTAGAGCCCTGTGTTCACAAGAAATAAAAAATAATTCCAACTTATATAAACATTATATTTTCAATGCAGCAAATCATGACAAGATGCTTAATGAAATGTTACATTATGATACAGTTCTGTGGGGGGAGATAAAACAGATATATGAATTTGAACGTAAGAAAAAACCATGTAGGGGCGCCTGGATGGCTCAGTGGGTCGAGCCTCTGCTTTGGGCTCGGATCATGATCTCAGGGTCCTGGAATTGAGCCCCGCATTGGGCTCTCTGCTCAGCAGGGAGCCTGCTTCCCCCTCTCTCTGCCTACTTGTGATCTCTGTCTGTCAAATAAATAAATAAAGTCTTTAAAAAAAAACAAAAAAGAGGAAACAATGTAAAATTTCAGAGTACTGGTATAATTTGCTCCCTCTTTTATATCAAATACTGAATACCAAACTACTATGGCATCTGGATTCCCCAGGTTATGTTTAAAAGCGCTGAATTGGGGCACCTGGGTGGCTCAGTGGGTTAAGCATCTGCCTTCAGCTCAGGTCATGATCCCAGGGTCCTGAGATGGAGCCCTACATCCGCCTCCTTGCCCAGCAGGGAGCATGCTTCTCCCTCCTCCCTCTGCCTGCCTCTTCCCCTGCTTGTGTTCATGCTTTCTCTGTCAAACGAATAAATAAAACTTTTAATTAATTAATTAATTAATTAATTAAAATAAAAGTGCTGGGTTATACATCATCAACTTATGCAATGTTATATGCCAGTTATATCTCAATATAATTGGCTGGGGGAAAAAAGGCCTGTAATAATTTTATTTTTAAAAACCAATTTTTGTTTTTAAGATTTTATTTATTTATTTGACAGAGAAAGACATAGCGAGAGAGAGAACACAAGCAGGGGGAGTGGGAGAGGGAGAAGCAGGCTTCCCGTGGAGCAGGGAGCCTGATGTGGGGCTCGATCCCAGGACTCCGGGATCATGACCTGAGCCGAAGGCAGACGCTTAACAACTGAGCCACCCAGGCGCCCCTAAAAACCAATATTAAATATGCACTGAAAATTGCAATTTCTGCAATTATTACAACTTAACAGCAGAAGAATTTAAGATCAACTAAAAAATTAAAGCATGAGGGTATCTACAGTTGTCAAAATCTTCCGGTGGTATGATACCAAATTCTGAGGATCACAAAGCTGGAACTCCACCTTTCTTTTCAACTTTTACTTTCTCCTCCTGAGACTTCCTACAATTTCACTTAATTCTAGATGCATTCTGAAAGAACTCTCAAAAAAACAGCCTCCTCTAATTACTGGGGGAGTTCACTCCTTCAACAAACACCTAATGAGCTTCTTCCACATGAAAGACACTAGCCTGGGTGCTACGGGTACAGCAGTGAATACAACAGACTAAAATCTCTACCCGCGTGGGAGTTTACCTTCCGGTGACTTCTTTGATACTTTCTCTCAGCCAGCTGTACCCATCTTTGTAATTAGTCGATAATGATCTGCCTGATTTTAAAACTCACTTAGAAGAAAATTCAGGGATGCCTGGGTGGCTCAGTCAGTTCAATGTCTGCTGTCGCCACGGGTCAAGAACTCAAGAGTTCTGAGATCGAGTCCTGGGTCGTCGGGCTCCTTGCTTGGCGGGGAGACTGCTTCTCCCTCTCTACCTCCTCTGCCTGCTCTGCCTGCCACTTCCCCTGCTTGGCTCTCTCTCTGACAAATAAGTAGATAAAATCTTTTTAAAAAAGAAAAAGAAAAAAAGTCAGGAGCATCTTGGTTTTGGCTCAGGTCCTGATCTCAGGGTTGCAGGATCCAGCCCCTCACTGGGCTCCACACTCAGTGTAAAGTCTGCTTAAGAGTCTCTCTGTCCCTTTGGCCCTCCACCACCCGCAAATTAAATACATCTTTAAAAAAATAATAAAAATAAAAGAAAAGGGGCACCTGGGTGGCTCAGTGGGTTAAAGCCTCTGCCTTCGGCTCAGGTCATGATCTCAGGGTCCTGGGATCGAGCCCCGCATAGGGCTCTCTGCTCTGCGGGGAGCCTGCTTCCCTCTCTCTCTGCCTGCCTGTCTGCCTACTTGTGATCTCTCTCTGTCAAATAAATAAATAAAATATTTAAAAAAAAAAAAAAAGAAAAGAAAAGAAAAAAATACACTCCAAGATGAAAAAAGCGAATTCTGATCCAGGTCCTGCCTCCAAAAATCCTTCTATACCGAAAAGGAAAGCTTGTAAGGCAGAAAATTTGTGTGAACCAGAGAAAAAGGAAAAGGCAAGTAACTTGTCTGAAAACCAATATCCATCTATTTCTAACTGAGTACTACCCTTTTATATAAAGATGAGGTCATACATTAGTGTATTTTTGTTCATTTTTTCCAGTGGCAGTAATGCTTACTCTGAGTCATCTGTTCACTCTGGTCTGACCTATCTTGAAACCTAAAGCAGATATTTTCCCTAACTGGCTAGAGTTGGGGGAGCAATTTAGTATGCGGCATCCAATAAGGCACTGACTGACTAGAGTAGGATTCAGCTTGGGCCAACGGCCCAAGGTAACCATTCATTTCACAATAATGTTCTCAGATAATTACATTTGAAACTGGTTCACGGGAAGACCTGGCTGATGGGGGGTATTAATTTAGGGTGACCCAGCTGTTGGTGGAGTATGAGTATCTGAAGGTCTCTTCTTTAGTTGGTCAGTTTCCTGAAGAAAAAATCTCGAACGTCCTCCCTGAGGTGTATAAGCCTGGCTGTCCAATCTGATAAAGGGGATAGGAATCTCACCTTCAGTTTTGTTGGTTTTCACTTAATTCTTGTTTTTATCATGACGAGTTTCGTCCCTACCTCAACTGTGCCTCATGAACATGAAACCAGAGCCTACATGGTTCAGTTTCTCCAGTGAATAAAGCTCCAGCCTTCTGACGAGGTGGTGAAGACAGGCTTAGAGAAGCGGGCTAGAGGGCCTGATTACTCCTTTCCAGACCCTCACCCAATCCTCCTATTGAAGCCTACCCATCAGAGGTATCTTCAGACGTACCTAAGGCTTCCAATTCCCCAACCCCTTCCAGATTTCTCTGGCAAGGCAAGTTGTTTCTTGATGGCTAAGCTCTTTAGTCTTAAGCTTTTGTTCTCTGAAGTGTGCCAAGTTGGTGTCAAGTTACTGGTGATCAATTAGCTTCTCAGCTCCCAGAACCGATTCAGATCTCTCTCCCGTTGATAATCATCTCCTGTCTCCAGTGCCTTTCCTCTCCCATTTTCTTTGGCTCTTGTGATATCTGTACCTCTTCCTCCTTTACTGTCATTTTGGTAGGGTGACAGGATGGAGCAGAGATAAATGCACATGTCCAACACATCATGTTTAACCAAAAGTTCTAACATTATTTCCCTGGTCATTCACTCAAAAAATACTTAAATGCTTGACAGTACATCATGAGAATACAGCAATAAATAATAAAGTCGTGGTCTCTCTTTCTGCAGCTCTCACACAGCTCTCCTTCCTCTAGGACGAATCAGAGATAACGCACAAGTAATTCCACAGGTGCTGACAGACAGACAGAAGTTCAGGATGACCCAAGGGGTTACAACAGGCAGACCAAACCAAAGCGAGAAGGGCACAGAGAATACAGGAATGGTTTTTTTGGAGGACATGACTACTGGCCTAACACCAGTGAATTGGCTAAAGAAAAATTAAGGCCTGTTAAGCCTGGTGGAAGAGCTTACCGGCGCTGGATCTGCCTTGCAAAATTGTTGCTGGAAGCTGAGCAGGGAAATTGGACTTCACTATGGAGGGTAGCATTACGGAAGAGGTCACAGAAGTTCTCAAAGAGCTCTAGAAGCTCATCTGATGTATTCTCAAACACGGCAATCACCTCTGTTGTCACCATATTGTATACCACGAAGAAAGATGCCTGCAGAAGAACAGAGAACTATGAGACAGCTGGATATACTGCCATGCCTTGGAAACGTACCACTTGGTTGAAAATTCCAACAAGTAAAACAAGCAAACACTTCTGCTCCCACACTAGCTTAAAACACGGCTCCAGGTGGTTCTGGGAGAGGAGGAAGCCTCGGTGCACTTTATCAATCAAGGGCCATCAGTCATGGCCAATACTGCTGGGTCTCCCACCACATCTGTGCTGTTAGGATTACTGAGCTAGCCTGCGTGTATGTGTAGAAAGGTTTCCAATCTTCCATTTCTGACTCTGCAAATTCAACACTTTTTCTTCCTAGTATTTATTCCTGACTTGTTCCCTAACCCAACCTGAAATAAAAAGCACTTTTTTAAAATGCCAGATTTAATTTTCCTCCCTGCTGAGAAAGTGATTGGTAACTGTAGCTGCCTGTTGACAAATTATTTTCTCTTGTATATGTACAGTTGAAAGTTCAATGTAGGGACATTTATTTTTCCTCTTAAGATTTCTATCATGCAGAGAGACACCTGAAGTACACCGTGTCCTAAAACTGCCCAGGCAAGTTGCAACCAAGCAGGGAACTGCTGCTTAACAAATGAAAAATCAAGGAGGCTTTTTCCTTTTCTTCCTTCGTAAATATTCTTTCGGCCAAGAGCATTTGGAAGATACATTCGAGATTTGTAGCAATTAAGATCAGAGGGGGAAGCTGAAAAGCATTCAAATGCCATAGGTGGCAGAGTCACTACTTTCTCTGAATTGGCCCCCGGGCGACCAGCCCTCTACACCACCAGTGTTCCGCCCCTGCCTAACAAGAAAGCTGCGGGAACCCCTGGTTTTTGTCCCAATGAATGTGGCAACGTGAACCAATCTGCAAGCTTTCAACAGGACTCCAGAAGTTTTCAGAACATTAGGATTAGTACTTCCCCCTCCTACAACGGAGTTGAAGTCATCAGTTCCTGGAGCCACATGGCCCACCTGTTTTACTACTCATTAGTCCTTCCCAGAGCTTTCATTACATGACTTTTACGGTCACCTGGAAATTAAATATGGTTGTAAATTAAAGAGGCCGCAGAGTAACCTGAGATTAAGACCCATAATATTAGCAAGGCTTTGTGTGTAGATGCACTTTTTCTCATTAACCTTATTGGAACCTATCATATTAAACTGGGGAAGGGGGTGGGAGGACAACTAGGGCAAACTGGGTTTAAAGTTACAAGCTCTGTAAGCAAAACACTGAGCACCAGTACTGCGTCTAGCCACAATTTATTAGAACTACCAGAAATAAGTGGGTCATGTTTTAGCAAAGGGAAGGATAATCTCAAATGTGGCTATCAGAGACAATTTATCCCCTCCAAATGACAAAGGTAATTATAGCTCAAACCTAAATAAAAGATTGACTCATGTCCTTTCTATAGACCTGGACAACATTTTGACCCTATCAGGGCTCCACCAGGATGCACCATAATTACGTGAATATAAAATTACACAAACGTTACTAGCCTTCCCTCCAGGGCAGACTGGCAAACACAGAAGGGGACAGAAGTCAAGGGTGTCACTGCCAATCTTCTATGACACATAAGATGGACTAGATTCCCATATGTGATGGCTCAATGGGCAATTTCATCATTAATAGGAAAGAAAATAACCCAGAAAAACTAATCCCCAACCACATTATTCCCCACCACCCACCTTTTTTAGAATATACAACCTATGATTCGGAAGATACTGGAAAGCCTTTTACTGTGGACGGCTGGTAAGGTCTTAGGAACAGTGTCCTGCACAGTGTCTCTTAGAACCAAATGCAAGTCAGTGAGAGATACAAGACAGCCTTCTTTGTGGCTGACTGGTTTGCTGTCTATTCTGAATCCTCAAACTCCTATCTAAGGAGACATTCTGGAAACAGGAGAACAGGGGGCAAGAGTAGAGAAAGGTAGGTCTCTTACTCGACCAACACTAAAGTGGAGAGCTTCTCAAAGAGAAATGCCCCAAAACAGCCTGAATTTCAACATGGTGTTCCAACCCAAGAGTCTTGGGAGCTTTCTGTGCCCTTAACACCACTTGATTCCCATTTGTGGAACAGCTCTCTCCTCTCCAAGATCTTTCATCCAAACTGAAATACCCTAGGATCTGCAGTCCTGATGATTCACTTGGGGGATCAGAAGTTTGGGCTTTCTTTTAATCTTTTCACTGCTCTACAGCCTATGGTCCAGCACATGGGCAAGGTCAGTGTAAAGTCATAAAACTTAACTGCCAGATGAACTTAACTATTAGTTACCTCCTAAGGATTCTGTGAAGAAGTATAATGAAATTAACCACTTAAGCAGGGAAGGCCAAATTTTTAGAAAATTTTTTGGCAGGGGAGGCCCCTGGATGGCTCAGTCATTAAGCGTCTGTCTTCAGCTCAGGTCATGATCCCAGGGTCCTGGGATCAAGCCCTGCATCAGGCTCCCTGCTCAGCGGAGAGCCTGCTTCTCCCTCTCCCACTCCCCCTGCTTGTGTTCCCTCTCTCGCTGTGTCTCTCTCTGTCAAATAAATAAATAAAATCTTTAAAAAAAAAAAAAGAAAAAGAAAAGTTTTTTTTGGTATGGTGGGCTCATTCTCATTCCTAGAACTAAAGCAGACCAACAAGCACAGTATCACAAAGTCAAGGCCGGATTACCCACCGGTAGTCCAAACTTTGACTTTGTAGCACTTGGGCTTCTTTCTCAAGGGAAGGGAAAATGCTCTGCAGGAGAGTTAATGTACTAATCACAGAGCTGACCACTCTCGTGTCAATGACTTGAGATTTAGCTTCCATTTTGTCCAAACACATACATGTGGCCAGAGAAAGTTGGAGCTATTTTAAGACTGAGGCCTAGGCTAACAAAAACTCAAGAGCATGGAAAATGGGAATTCCTGAGAGGCTGGCCATAGGCAAAGAGAGAAACCCTCCCACTTTCCCGAGGGGCCGGGGGCAATAAAGGGCCTGAGAGCACTTCACACCTGTGATGGGTCTGTGACCCGCAGGGTTACCACGTCCTCACTGGTGTACTTGATAAACAGATGGTTTTCATCCAGAAGCTGCATTTTCCACATGCGCAGCTGTCGCAGCTGGTCAAAATATTGGAAGAAGCGCCTCTTGGCCATCGCGCTCCCATCCTGCTCTGCCCGGCGCCACAGGTACACGAGCAGCCGGTGTTTCAGGGAGTTGATGAAGGGGTCTCTGAAAGGATTGGCCATGCCCGTCTGACTGTCCCGCTGCACCTCCGGGAAAACGGCCGACACCGTGAGGAGGTCATCCTCATAGCAGAAGCGGCCGATGGTCCTCACATCAATGAAAGTGCCTTCAGGAGTCACCTGGAAGACGTGGATGGTCTGCTGCTGCACCGACAAGATGGCCAGGATGTTTTTGTACAAGTACAGCCCTTGGTTGTGCGACAGGACCACCTTGTCACACTTGAAGGTGCGGGTGTCACACAGGCGGCCCGTGTGAAGGTCGATGATGTGAAGGGAATAGTCCTCCAGGGGGGACCGGGGGTTGGGGGTCACAGACTCGCTGTTCCGGTAAACCTCGTAAAAAGGGGGGTGCGGCTCATCCGGGAGGTAGGCAGCTGAGCCCACGATGACACAGCGGCAGTCGTCGGTGAAGAGGCTGCACTCCCGGTTCAGGTGCTCCCCGTTGGCGGCCACGTTGGTAATATGCAGCAGGACAAAAAAGCGTTCGAAGAGCCGGCCGCGGATGTTGACCGACCGCTGGTCGTTGCCATTGGACAGGATCTCCCCCTCAGAGCCCTGCAGTAAGTCCTCAGCTGCCTGGCAGCCCTGGTACTCGTAGATCTCAAGAGAGGTCTGGTCTGAAGAGAAAGCAATAAAGTAGCGCCCATCAGGCGAGAATTTACGCAAGAAACACGGCGGCTTTTCCACATTGACGACCGTGAAGTTGGGGAAGACATTCTGGTGGAACACTCGGACCTGATGCCAGTGGGTGCCGGCCTTGCCTGAGCCGATTCGCCGCCGTTCCAAGCGGTGAATGACATTTTGGTTCTGGATTCTTCGAGGTTTGATAGTGGAAACATGATGATCCATTATCACATCTCTGCGTGGAAAAGTGAAGAAGTCGAGAAAGCAAAACAAAGTTGACCAAAACATAAATATACAGAAGTCAAAGAGATTTTCCTCCTGATAACCTGGACCTAAGAGCTCGCGGGGTGACAGTGAGCAGCATTTCTCCTTCCCAGATCACAGTCAGAAAACAGTCCTGACATTTCTGATTCTAAAAACGGGTTTGAGGGAAGGACCTAATTGACTAGGAACACCTTCAAAGCACTCTTAGCTGTTGGAATAGTCAACAAAATAAACATAGAATTATATCAAATTTGTTCAGTATAAGAGTAACATCTCGTGCACATGCATTAAAGAAATATATTTACTAGCTGTTAAGATGTCCATACTACCTGGGGCACCTGCGTGGCTCAGTCAGTCAAGTGGTTGCCTTCGGCTCAGGTTACGATCTCGGGGTCCTGGAGTCGAGCCCCACATTGGGCTCTCTGCTCAGTCAGCAGTGAGTCTGCTTCTCCCTCTCCCCCTCTCTGATCTCCCTTTCTCTCTCAAATAAATAAATAAAATCTTCAAAAAAAAGGCGGGGGAGATGTCCATACTACCTATAGCAATCTATAAACTCAATGCAATCCCTAACAAAACCCCAATGGCGGTTTTTGATAAAATAGAAAAATTTATCCTAAAATGCACATGTAATCTCAAGGAACCCCAAACAGCCAAAACAATTTTGTAAAAGAAGAAAGTTGGAAGACTCAGACCTTCTGATTTCAAAACATGTAACAAAGCCAAAGTAATTAAAAAAAAAATTGTGGTACTGGCATAAAAACAAATATACCAATGGAATAGAGTAGAGAATCCAGAAACAAACCCTCACAGATGTAAACAACCCAAGATTCAGGAAGTTCAGAGAACCCCAAATGTGATAAACCCAAAGAAATCCATGCCCAGACACACTACAGTCAAACTTAAAAACTAAAACACAAAGTAGAAATCTTACAAGCAGCCAGGTAAATGATATATTACCTTGAGGGGAACAATTCAAATGTCTGGATTTCTTGAGAAACCATGGAGACCAGAAGGAAGCACAACGTTTTTGAACTGTTGCCTCTGGGTCAACAGTAAAATCTCAGCTAAAAAGGCAACTCTTCAGATTTTTCCCTATCTTCCCATTCATATCAACTCTCATTCTACCCTATTTTCTTTTCTTTAGCCCTCAGCGTGTTTTGAAATTATCTTGATTACAAGTATCTGTCACCACACACCAGCCCCAGGGGCCCTGCCCAACTCCAAGTGAATCCCATCATCTGGGGCAGTACCTGAGGCACAGTAAGGGCTCAGCAACATGGTAAATGAATGAATGGAGCAACATTCCAACATGGGCCTCCAAGGATCAAGAATTCACTAGGCAAAGTAAAAGAGGAGCATTTCAGAAAGAAGGAAGCCTAAAAAATACACTGGGAAAGAGTGTGGCATGATACATTTGGGAAACAGAGTAATCCCAAGTGGTTAGAGCCCAGGAAGCACAGAGTGAGTGATAAAAGAGAAGTCCAGAAAAGCAGATTGGAGCCAGACTGGAAAACACTTCACACACCACTCCACGCCACACCAGCTATTAGACATTTTAGCATGCAGTAACTTCCCCATATATATATATAGATAGATAGATAGATAGATAGATAGATCGATCTCGATATATCTATATATATTTTTGGCTTATAATAACAGAAATTTATTACCGTACAGATCCAGAAGATAGAAGACCCAAATCTACGCATTAAGAGGTCCATGTTCCCCCTGAAGTCTCTAGGGAAGTATCCGTCCTTGCCTCTGCCACCTTCTGGTGGCTCCTAGCAGCCTTGGTAGTAGCAGCAAAACTCAGTCTCTGGCTCCATCTTCACAAGGCTCCCCGCGCCCCCAGCCCCCAGCTCCCTGCCGGCCCTGTGCCTTCTTGTCCCTCTCTGCTGTGTACAAGGAATCAGTTATACAATTTAAGGGCCACTTTAAATCCAAGATGATTTCATCCTGAAGTCCTTAGTTACAATTTTGAAGGCTCTGTTTTTTCTTTCTTTTTTTTTCTTTTGTTCTTTCTTTGCTGTACTCCAATAAAATTTTCTTTATCTTTCTTTTTTTAATTAATTTTATTTTTTTATAAACATATAATGTATTATTAGCCCCAGGGGTACAGGTCTGTGAATTGCCAGGTTTACACACTTCACAGCACTCACCATAGCACATACCCTCCCCAATGTCCATAACCCCACCACCCTCTCCCTACCCCCAACCCCCCAGCAGCCCTCAGTTTGTTTTGTGAGATTAAGAGTCTCTTATGGTTTGTCTCCTTCCCTCTCCAACTATATTTTAGAAATAAAAACGTAACACACAATGTGGTATTTGTTTATACTGTCTCCTTCTAAAAGGGATTCGAAGTGTTTATGCATAGATACTGTCCAATCAAGTTAAAGATGTGCATACCTCCATGACTGACCACACTAAATTTCTCAAACTGCTAGTCACACGTCATTAATGAGGCCTTGAAATCAATTTAGTGGATATAATTGACTTTTTAAAAAGTGGAATAAAATAAAAAATATGAGCAAATACTATTTCATGACACATGTTTCAATTATATATATGAATTATAGGTACTGGGTGAAGATATAAAATGTATTTCCTACTGATCTAGACTGCAGCAAGAGAGTGCTTACTGCCTATCCCCAGGCCAAATCTTGTCTGCCTGGCTATTTACTTGGAAATAAAGTTTTATTGGAACACAGCCATTACCATTCATTTATATATTACCTGTGCTTTGCTTTTGTCCTACAAAGGCACACAGATGGTTAGTTGAGACCAAAGACCACATGGCCCACAAGCCTGAAATACTTAGTGTCTTGCCCCTCACATCAGCCTCTCTTGAGCACTGGTTCCTAACTGGAGCAATTCTGTAACATCTGGAGACAATGTTTGGTTGTCCTAACTTGGAAAGGAGGGATGTTATGAGTGTCCAGCAAACAGAAGCCAGGGGTGCTGCCCAACATCCTACAGTGAACAGGGCAGCCCTCCACGTTTACACCAAGATGTCAATGGTGCTAAGGATGAGAAACTCTGATCTAGAGAAAAGTCTGCACATGAGCCGGACTGTTAGCAACAGCAAAAACTGACCACACTCCAAATGCCCATGAACAGAAGCCCAGATCGACTCTTCCCAGCATATTCATGCAGTGCAATCTTACGAAGCAACCAATCAGTGCGCTACAATTATACATAACGACGAAGTCAACCTCAGAACACAACAATGCCTGAAGCAAGCAAGCAGCAGAATCGTTTTGTGTGACTCCCTTTATATAAGCTTCAAACGATTTCTAGTTTAAAGCTATCAATATATGTGGTATACAATTACAGAAAACAGAGGAATTATAAACATAAAATTCAGAACAGTGGTTACCTGTAAGAAGTAAGAAATGGGATGGGGACTGGGACACACTGGCAGCTCTGATGTCATATTTTTTCTTAAATCAGCATTCACTGTACTATCATACTTTAAAGACTACATATACTTTTAAAGTATTATTTGAACTTACTCAGAGTTGGTTTTTTTTTATTTTATTAGGAAACAATCACCGTGAAGACAATACTAAGGCAGGAGAGTAAGATGAAGCCAGATGTACAGAGAAATGCGTACCATGTAGACTTGAAGAACTGCCAAGCTTCTAATTTGGCCTTGATTTTTCCAAGCAAAGCAAAAAGGAAAAACCAATCAGTTACAGAATCTGCACAGCCAATAAGATAGAAACTTAACCGAGGCCTGGAAGAAGCACAGCTCTTCCCGGCACTGGAGTTTAAAAGCAATCCCTCTCCTAAGTTTTCTCAAAGGACCTTGGCATGATACAGTGAGCAATGTCCTCCATATCTGAACAACAAATCCTGAATTTCACACAGCTACTCAGTGTCAACAGTGACATTGTTGCTGTGGCTATTGTAACACAGCCTAAAAAACACACTATTAAGGTTTAAGCATTTCAAAATACCAAACAGCATACAAAACTGCCTCACTCAATCCCGGCCAAGGGCACCTCTGCCAACCTAAGATGAGGGCTGGAGTCAGGGTGACCGGAATGGGAAGACAGAAGCAGATAAGGCCCAGGCATGGAAGGACGAAGCATGAGACACCACCTAGCAGACAAACTGCTGAGTGGGATCGAGTATACTACAGCCGTTCAACTTAGAAAGAGCCACTGATCATACTAAGCAAAATAGATGCTTAATTCTAAGAAAACTGATGCACATTGTGTATAGCCCAATCTTAAATTCTCTGATTTGTCTTCTTAAGGGAAAGACAACAGGGGCGCCTGGGTGGCTCAGCTGGTTAAGCGACTGCCTTCGGCTCAGGTCATGATCCCAGAGTCCCAGAATCAAGTCCCCTATCGGGCTCCCAGCTTCATGGGGAGTCTGCTTCTCCCTCTGACCTCCTCCTGTCTTGTGCTCTCTCTCTCTCTCAAATAAATAAATAAAATCTTTAAAAAAAAAAAAAAAAGGCAAAGACACCAGACACTGGTGTGAAAGGTGTGAGGGGTAGGGTAAGTGGAGTTGAGGACCTGTTAACTTCAGCTCCAAATTATACAGAAAATCCTCACTGAATTTCCCAACATTTCTCTCAGCATGCACGCTCTCTGTCCCTCCACACACACACTCTATTTCATATCACACAACTGTGATTTTTAGAGATATGGTGAAGTTATTTAAGGCTTTTTCAACTTGTTCTCTTATTGTTCTGATTAAAAAATAATACACGCTCATAAAAATTCAAACACTATAGAAAAAAAGTATGAAATGAAACGCCCTTTAGGGTGCCTGGGTGGCTCAGTCAGTTAAGCACCTGCCTTTGGCTCAGGTCATAATCCTGGGGTCCTGAGATCGAGCCCCTCATCGGGCTCCCTGCTCAGTGCGGAGTCTGCTTCTCCCTCTGCCTCTGCACCTTGCTTGTGCTCTCTCTCTTATTCTCTCTCTCTCTCTCTCTCTCTCTCTCCAAAACAGAAATAAAGTTATTTCCAGAAACAAAGAAAGTCAGTCCCTTCTAATCAGGGTGAGAATCATTATAAAAAGAGTCAGAGTAACTGATGTTATTTTCCCAAAAGCTGGCCCTCTCCCAGCTCCCCTAGACCAGTGAATGGCCCAGCTACTCTCCTGCTTATCAGAAACCAGACACCTGACCGTCTTCCTTGACACCTCTTTCCCTCGGGCCCCCATCAGTCATCAAACTCTGGAGGTTTTCTCTCCTACTAAATAGCCCTCTCATCTTCCACTTACCTCTATCACAACCTGCCATACCCTTATCCCAACTTTTATAATTTCACGCCTGCGATACCGCATCAGCTTCCTACTAAACCCACTCCTTGCAACAGCCAATGATCTTTCCAAAAATGCTTTTGTGACCACGCCCTCTCCACTACGGATTAAAACAGGAAAGTATCTTCCCACTGCTCTTTAAGATCAGAATCAAAATTTTTTAACACGCCAGCCAGGTGCTCAAAGGTCTCAGCTCTGCCTCTCCAACCCCATCTTTTCCCACTAACTCGAACCACTTCATCAACAGGGATCCCACCTCCTGCCTCAGAAGCTTGGCACTTGCTATTAACTGAAACCTAAAAAAGCTCTTCTGCTCCCTTTGCTAACTCCAATTTCAGACATCAACCTAATTATCTCCTCCTAGAGAAGTCTTCCTTCACCTCCCCCTTAGCTCAAATACCAACTTAAGGGCCACATCTCGCCTTCACAACACTCGTCATCCTTCAACTCTGTCTCTGCACGTCACTCCTACCTGTGGCACTAATGGTGAGCTCCTGACCAGTACGCATATTCTGTGCGCCTCCTGGACACATCTTAAGCCTCCTTTCCTGTACGCTGGACCTGCCTCACGCCAAGGTCTTTGCCAACTCAGACATCCACAGGAGCTGTTCCCTCTGCCTAGGACGTCTTTCCCCGGGCCCCTGCATAGTTTCTCAAGTTGCAGCTCAAGTGTCCTCTCCTCTCTGATCTTTCTCTCTACAGCAGGCCTCCCCATTCCTTCTCCGTCTGTCTTCTCCACAGAAACGGCCACAGTGCGCGCATCTGCCTTTACTTGCACGGTTGTGTGACTCCCCACTACACCGTACTCCCTCTACAGAAAGCAACCATGTCTGCTTCGGTCACCTCAGTGTTCTCAGTGCCCAGCAAGGGGGCTGGCCCCTCGTATGCCTTCGGTACGTTATTTATGAATGAAAGAAGAAAGCCTGGCGGAACGGGGCCACTCGCTCCTCGTGTGGCACTATGAGTCCTTTTCCCCTTGCTGCGTCTCAGCTTCCCCACAAGGGCTGGCGCACACACCCCTCAAGTCGCAGTGACGGCTTCCAAAGCGGTAAGGGGATACCAAGGGGGCGGGCACACACCCCCAAGGGGGCGCCCCCGGAAAGAGAAGCCCGGGGCGGGGCCTCCAAGGGAAGGGAACGCTCAGGGAGGGCGGGAGCCGCGGGGCCTCGGCGTGTTGCGGGGAGGGGGCCGCCCCACAGCGGGAACGCGGGAAGGCCTCGGGGAAGGCCTGACGGGTTTGGAAGCTGGGCCAAGAAAGGAGAAGTCCTCACCTGTACGGTCCTCGTTCAAAGGGCCGGGGAGAAGAACCCCCCGGCCTGCTCGGCACGCGCCTCCCCCAGCCCCGCCCCCGCCATGCCTCCGGCCCCGGCACCCGCGGCTGCGAGCCCCCGCTTCCGCTTGCCACCGGAAGTGCGGTGCAGCGAGAAGGTGTGGGGAGAGCGCGGCGGCGTCAGCGGACACTGAGAGTATTCTAGCGCACCCTGGTGTCCGGAGGGGGAATCGAAGCCACAAGGAGCTCAGTAGCTGTGAGGGAAAAAAATTAACCCAGAGCCCTAACGTGGGCTTGTCAGTGATCTCTTAAGGTAATGTCTCTGAGCCTGCTGGACACGTTTGCGAAAACACAGATAAAAATTGTTTCACCTCTTGATTATATGCGCCCTTTCATCGGCGGAGGATCGATTTGCCCTGTGTTGTCCGCTCCTGCACAGTGAGCCCTTGGACCACCGGAATGTAACCCCCACCCCCCGCGCCCCCCCGAACATTCTGCCCAATACAGTTACTGGCCCATAGTGGAAGTGCAGAAAAGCTTCTTGCGTTAATCTAGTCCCATTACCTTTACTTGGACCGCCTGCCCCCAAATTTCCCCCCGTCGGCCTCCTTCGGATCATTCAGTTCTCAGCGCCTGTGACTGCTTCGGATTGTTCTCATTCCACTGCCACTTCATGCTACTTTTTGTTTTTTGGTTGCTTCTTTTTTTTTTTTTTAAGATTTTATCTATCTACTTGTCAGAGAGCGAGACAGAGAACACAGCAGGGGGAGCAGCAGGTAGAAGGAGAAGCAGGCTCCCTGCGGAGCAAGGGAGCCCAATGGGGGACTCCATCCCCGAACCCTGGGATCCTGACCCCAGGTGAAAGCAGGCAGACGCTTAACCAACTGAGCTACCTAGGCATCCCTCACGCTATTTTCTGTTAGCATTCATCACTATATGATATTACCCGGTGTGTGTGTGCGTAGGCATACGCGCAAGTGTCTTTGTGCTGTTTCCCTTCCCCCTTCTAGAAAGTCAACTCCGTGAGGGCAGGGATTTTGTCTTGCCCTCTATCTTCGCCTACAATAGGGTTTGGCATCTTGTCGGTGCTCTACAGTAAGGATTCCGTCCACGAGTGAGGGTCTCTGTCCACATTGTTCACAGCAATCCTAGGAGGAAGGAATGCTGATTAGCCTTTACAGATGAGGACACAGACTCAGGAAGGGTACGTGGCTAAGAAGAAACAGGGTGGGTTCTTGGAACGGTCTTGACATTTCCAGGCTGATTATCTCAGGTACTGACTGCAGAGTCTTCATTTTCTCTTCTGGGAAATGAAGATTTGCTGCCTAGTGAGGTTATTGAAAAAAATTTGAGCTGTTATCCTTAAAGCGCCTGGCACAGCCTGGAATGCTGTAGATGCTCAGTAAAGTGTTACTGCAGTTACTCAAGATCAAATCCCTTAACCCACCCATGATGAAATTGAGAGCCTGAGAGGGATATGACTAGGACAACTTCATAGGAACACAAGCAGCAGAATCGAGACTGTGACCAGGACTTCCATCTCCCCTTTTCAAGGGTTCTCTCCCACAGTATCAAGTTCTGACTCTGCCATTTGCGTTCCTACATGATGTTAGGCAGCTCACTCACCCTCTCCAAGTCTGTTTTCTTATATCGGAAATTGGGTAATTATCTGACTTGATAATTAGAGAGAAATCATTAATAATTAGATAATTAGAGAGAGATAACTAGAGAGATCACACAAGAGAATATTGTTTAAATTATCAAATGCTACCCAGATGGAAATGTTTGGGGACTGCGATCTCTGTGCTGAGCCTGGTAATTAAAATCGGGAGCTTTACTGGTACCAGAAGAATAACTGAGAAGAAACTCTACCCCGAAATCACACCATGTACAATTCCAGGGGTGCCTGGGTGGCTCAGTCGTTAAGCATCTGCCTTCAGCTCAGGTCATGATCCCAGGGTCCTGGGATCAAGCCCCACATCAGGCTCCCGGCTCAGCAGGAAGCCTGCTTCTCCCTCTCCCACTCCCCCTGCTTGTATTCCCTCTATTGCTGTCTGACTGTCTCTCTCCATCAAATAAATAAATAAAATCTTTTTACAAAAACCAATTCCAAATAGACTGGGGGCACCTGTGTAGGCCAGCTGGTTAAGTGTCCAACTCTTAACCTTGGCTCAAGTCATAATCTCAGCGGTGTGCAACTGAGTCCCACCTCAGGCTCTGCGTTGGGCATGGAGACTACTTAAGATTCTCTCTCTCTCTCTCTCTCTCTCAGGTGCCTGGGTGGCTCAGTCGCTAAGCATCTGCCTTCAGCTCAGATCATGATCCCAAGGTCCTGGGATTGAGCCCCACATTGGGCTCCCTGCTAGGTGGGGAGCCTGCTTCTCCCTCTCCCTCTGCCCGCTATTCCCCCCGCCTCTGTCAAATGAACAAATAAAATCTTAAAAAAAAAAATTCTCTCTCTCTCTTTCTCTCCCTCTGCCACTCCCCCCTCTAAAAAAACAGACCAAAGGCCTAAATGTAAAAGGCCAACCTATGACACTCTTAGGAAGAAACATAAGCATAATTCTTTCTGACCTTGGATTAGGCAACAGTTTCTTAGATATGACACTAAAAGTACAAGCAACCAAAAGGAAAAATAGATTAAACTGAACTTCATTAAAATTTAAAAATGTTGGGGCACCTGGGTGGTTCAGTCAGTGAAGTGTCTGTCTTTGGCTCAGGTCATGATCTCAGGGTCCTGGGATCCAGCTCCATGTTGGGCTCCCCACTCAGCAGGGAGTCTGCTTCTCCCTGTCCCTCTGTTCCCTCCCCACTGCTTGTGTTCTCTCTTGCAGTCTCTCTTAAATAAATAAATAAATATGTTTGTGCTTCAAAAGACATGAGAAAGTGAAAAGACAACCCACAGAATGGGAGAAAATATTTGCAAATCATATATCTGATAAGGGTCTAATATCAAGAATATTTTTTTTAAACTCCTGCAACTCAACAACAAAAAGACCAACTGAAAACTTGGCAGAGGATCATATATATACATGGCCAATAAACCACGAAAAGGGTTCAACATCATCAGTCATCAGGGAAACAAATTCAAAAGCATAGTGAGATGCCCTTTCACAGCCACTAGGACAGCTATGACTTTCAAAAAGGAACATAATAAATATTAGTGAAGATGTAGAAAATTGGGGTTTTCCTGCATTGCTGGTGGGCATGGCATAGTCATTGTGGAACATAGTTTAGCAGGTTTTGTCTGCTTTTTTTTTTTTAAGAGGGAGGAGGGAGGACAGAGGGAGAGGGGAGAGAGAGAAAGAAAGAGAGAGAGAGAGAGTCTTAAGCAGGCTCGATGCCCAGTGCAGAGACTGATGGAGGGGTTTAGACTCACGACCCTGAGATCAAGAGCTGAGCTGAGATCAAGAGTTGGAAGCTTAGCTGACTGAGCCACCCAGGTGCCCCCTTCATGTTTAACTTCTATTTAACTTACATTTATAAGGATGTCTTTAAAATCCTCTGACTTGCCATATTGTTCTTGCTATTTGTAGATTTACTGCAGAGTCCAGCATGGGGAGGCTGTCATACTGTGTCACACTGTGCTTCCTGGAAAATCTGCTAGCTATGGAGGAGGCCTGGGGTTGTCTTTTCTCCAGCCATTCCCAGGAAGTGGATTTCAATTCATTGCTCACAGAGTCTGATGTTATAGAGGTGACCAGAGGCAAGACTATGACTGCCTGGGAGGTCTTTACAAGAACTTTGCCTTCAATTCAGAATAAAATAAGGGGCGACAGGAAGGCTCTGAGCAGAGGAATAGCATAGGCAGACTTATGTTTTAGAAACTTCACTCTGGCTGTCACGGAGAGAGGGAACTCTTGAGAGTCCAGCCGGGAGGCTACTGCAATAGTCCAGGCAAAAGGTGATGGTCACCCGGATTTGAATAATAAAGGTAAAGGTGGTAAGAAGTGGTCAGATTTGAAACATACATTAAAGGTGTATCACCAATGGCTTGGATAAGCAGTGTGAGAGAGAGAAAGAGAAGAGGCAAGCATGTTCCAAAGTATTTGGTCTAAGTAACTATGAATGCTTCAACTCAGAAAGTAATTGTATCTTGAATTGGGCGATGTTTAAAGTCATCTCCCGGGGCGCCTGGGTGGCTCAGTGGGTTAAGCCTCTGCCTTTGGCTCAGGTCATGATCTCAGGGTCCTGGGATCGAGCCCCACATGGGGCTCTCTGCTCAGCGGGAAGCCTGCTTCCCCCTCTCTCGCTGCCTGCCTCTCTGCCTACTTGTGATCTCTGTCAAATAAATAAATAAAATCTTAAAAAAATAAAGTCATCTCCACAAGAACAGGTGCCCCTTCGGTTTTGCAGCTGCTGATCCCAGAGGCCTAACGCCATGCCAGGGACAGAGGCATCAAATAAAGATTTGCTGAATGCTGATACCAGCCTCCTGTGCATGCAGGGTAGCACCTCAGGTGAGACCTGTGATTCCAGAACTCATCAGCCTGCCTCTCCCAGATGTCCCAACTTTTAATTGCCCACCGCCCCCCCTTTCCACTGTGCTCCTAGCCCTGGGAAGAACATTGAGTCCTCACCCCCACTGCAGCTCGTGCTCCTCTGTCCCTCTCAGGAGTCCCAGGGCACACTGGGTCCCCAAGTGACTGGGCTGATGGAGTGGTAGGGAGGGGGACCTGGAGGCTCTGAGAGCTTTCTCTCCTCTCATTCCGTCTTCCTGTGGCTCTTCTGCCAAGGCTTTTAGCAACTCTGCTCTGTATGTGCATTAGCCACGAGAGGAGAAGATGGGAACAAAAGCAGGATGAGAGGCTCTTGTTCCTTCTCCCATTCTAGAAGAGGCTGGCTGAGCTCTTTTCACCTCTGCATTCACTGGCAGACATTTCTTACCCTAAGTAATACACCACCGCTGCCCCACCATCCCCATCCTCCCCAGCACCAACATCATCATCATCACCATCATCACCATCATCACCAACACCATGGCCAGCGTCATCACCAATCCTTCTGTGAAAATCATCACAATCACCATTTAGTACCTATTTCCTGTACACCAGACCCTGTGCTGATCATTTCAGCTACATTATGTCATTTAATCCCGTGAGTTCGGCA